ACACTTTAGCTATTGGCTCCAATACCATTGGGAAGGTCCTACTATTTCATGGATTAAAACATAATCTCATCAATGTTAGCTAATTATTCGATAAAGGGTATGGCATCCAGTTCTCTTTTTCATAATGAATGATTAAATTCATGGTTGAATTTTACTTTACTAGTCATACATAAATAATTTTTTCTTTCTTAGTATGATGTTTAAGATTGACATATGTTTGAAATCTAATTTTTTAAATCCTTGACTTTGGCATAGACATTTCTATCATGGAAGCATGCATACCATATCTAAACATTCTAGACAAGAATTGGTTGTATGCTTGCCCAAACTTGATTCTTTTAAGGACAAATTGTGAATTGATTGTTAGTTAGGAAAATAAATTTGTATATCCTTTAATCCCAAATATCAAATTTCTACCTCAAAACCTTTAAAGATATTGCATAAGAGCCTATTTGGACCAATCTTACACATTATTTTAGGAGGGAAAAGATATGGATATATCATTATAAATAATTAATCAAGATTAACTTCCGCAGCATTCCTAATTATCTATAGTGATGTAATTTTGGAGTTTATTAAATTCGTAAAAAAGATTTCAAAGAGAAAAGAAGTTACCTATCACATAAGTGATCATAGAGAAAAGTTTAAGATTAAAAAATTGAAAATTTTGTATTAAACTAGGGATTACATATGCCTTCTTATGCTTAGGAAACCATGGAAGAATGATGTAGTTGAAACGGAAAAATAGAATCATATCAAATACAACAAGAATAATGATTAGTGAATATTTCTTTCCTAAATTGGGTTGAAGCAATGAATAAACCATGTTATGTGATGAATACTATAAAGATTAGATCAACAATCAAGAATACCCAATATGATATTTTGAATGAGAAAATATAAAATATGTCATACTTTTATGTATTTGGATGTAAATATGTTATATTAAAATAAAAATAAAAAGACTAATCAAATTTGTCATGGGATTGGATGAAAGAGTGTTCTTAGCTTACTCAAATTATAATAATGCTTATAGAGTTTTTAATAAAAGAACCTTAGTTGTTGATGAATCTATGCATGTGAAATAAGATATGATATTATCTAGGACGAGAGATTTGGATGTGTGGGCATTAATGTGTTAGAAATCTAGCTCTATATATGCTAACAAATAGTAGTGAACTTCTTCCTACACTTGAATTTCCTATAGAATGGAAGTACTCATTAAGTCATCCTAAAGAGCTTATTTTACATAGTTAGGATTAGAAGCCAAATTAGAGAAGAGGTTGATCTTTTGTATTCATTTCCCATGTTGATCCTAAGAATATAGATGATGCATAAAAGATGAATCGTGAGAAATTGCTAAAAATGAAGAATTGAATCAGTTTGTATGAAATGAAGTTTAAAGGCTAGTGTGTAGGCCCAAATATCAACATATAATTGAAACAAAAGAGCCTACAAAATTATGTCTGAAGATTTAGGCATTAAATTTAGAAATAAGGATAGATTAATAGCTCAAGGGTATAGTCAAATTGATAGGATTAATTTTGAAGAATCATAAGTTTTGGTAGATAGATTAGATGTCATTAGATTTTTATTAGCATTTACTTATTATAGGTTTTTTTACTATACCAGATGGACATAAAAGTACTTTCTTAATGGTATTACACATGTAGAACAACTACCTAAATTCATTGATCTTTTATATCTCAACCATGTGTTCAAATTAAAGATGGCACTTTGAAAGCATTTCTGTCATTGTCTGTCCTAATTCTATTATGAGAGATTAAGCTTATTCTTCTCTAGATTAGGTTTTAGTAAAAGCATGGTTGATAACGCTTTAGAGCATTAGAAATAACAACATAGTAACTTAGATCTGTGTAGATGATATTCTATTTGGAGCCACATAAGAATCATTATGTCATGATTTTCCCACAAAAAAATGAGTAAGGAATATGATATGAGTTTAATGAGAGATCTTATTATTTTCTTAGACTACATGTAAAGAAAAATGATGATGGAATTTTCATCTCCCAAACTAAATATATTAATGATCTAGTTACAAGATTTAACACGAAAGGATTCAAATTAATAGGCATCTCTATGAGCACAACAACAAAGATAAGGTTGATAGTGGAATGTTAGTGGATAATATATTATATATAGAGGTATGATATCAACCTTATTATATTTGACAATGAGTAGATTAGACCTTGTGACTGTTATAGGAATTTGTGTTGATTTTTAATCAAGTTTTAAAAGTGTCCCATTTGTTAGGTATAAAAACAAATGTTCACCTAAATTTAGATTATTGTATCCTAAGTATGAGTTATCATTTAAATATATAGAGTACATTGATGCCGACTATGTAGGGTGTAGAGTTGATCAAAAAAGCCATATACTTATTAATTCTTATGACTTTCACTTATATCTTGGTCTAATAGGAAGCTAAATTCAACTGCTTTATCCACTATAGAGGCATAGTATATTGCTTTAGGTAGTTGTTTCGCATAGTTACTATAATAACCCATATTCTAACCTAGTGAAATAATTTTCTCATGAGACCTTAAAAGTCCAAATCATAAATTATATGTTTTATAAGATAGATATAATTGTGTACTAATAATAATAATTTTTTTTTATATAATTTTTTGGTACTGTTGTAAATCCTTAAGAACTTGACACCTCTCCATACAAGTATAGATTTTGGGACTGTCATGTGTCCATTTTATAAACTGATTTCATTTAAATTTTTTAAATTAAATGAGCTATTTTATAAGTATTTTTTATAATTTTTGAAGCCCTAAAAAGATGTATATGAATTTATACTAAAAAAATTGATTAAAAATATAATTATAAAATATTATATTATTATTATTTTTTAAATATCATAAGAGATTAACTCTAATTATTTAAATTCCTATTCCCTATTCAATCATTTTAACAGAGACCTATTATGGGAAAAAAAGATAGGAAAAGTAAAGAGAGAGAAAGTTAAGATTTAGAGTCCACAAAGTGATTTTTGTCCGTCAGACTTGTTGGGAGATTTTCTTATCTCACTATAAGGAACCATTATCCTAATTTCTATTTCAATAATTTGGTATTTTTAATATTTTTTATCAAATTTATATTTCTATTATAGAAAAATAAGGATAATTTTGTATTGGTAAAATTTTTACCACATAACTTTTTGTATGTGATAGATGTTGTCAATATAAGTATTTTGACTAGAACATATCGAATTTTCACCTGTTAAATTAAAAGTTGTGTTTTTTTGAAGTAAATGCATAGTAGATAAATTTGATAGATTTCTTAATATTTTTTTGTTATTGCATTTCATATATGATATTAACTTACATCATATAGAAAATATAACATTTGCGTGTAAGCAAAAAAGGCTAGATGCTAATATTATAATGAATATAGGTTGGCTCTTAAAAAATAATACCATGCATATGAGGGTTGGCGATTGCCTTTCCTTTAAATAAAATGTTGATGGTGTAATCCTAGTTGTAGTCTGTAATCGATTGACCAAACTACACTGACGGGTAAAATGTGACGACTCTTAAATGATTATTGAATTTCACTTGTAAAAATAAATGATTAATATAAGATAAGATTGAAAGATTGATATATATGACAGATAACAGATGTAATGAAGAAAATACCACAATAAAGTAGCATACTCTAACTTGATTTTCATAATTCTCATGATGATATTTACCTGATAGTATATTAAACTAAATGATGGATATAATTAAACTCATAAAACATTAATATTTATACAATATAGCATAACATACTATCATGACTTATTGAGTGATAGTCATCTTTACTAATTTTTCTTATATTTTGATAGTTGATAGATATCTTTTTACGTTACTGATCATATTGATTTTATTATTGATTTTAGATATTTTTATTACTCATATTAAGTGATGATTGATATTGACTAGAACTAAACATACATATTGATTCTTTTACCTTGCATTAAAAGAAGTGATAGAATTTGAAAGGATTTTTTCTATTTCTTAAAAAGAAGAATTCGGCTCATGTTGTGGCAAGGCAGTTGAGGGCATTCGTGCCTCCTGCTTTATCCCGCATTCGAGTCGCTCAACCTGCCAAAAAAAAGAAGGAAAAATAAATGATGATAAAGAGATATAATATTATTAATTACCACATTCCATGCCTGGAAGAATATATATATATTAGATAATTTGTGTATGACCAATTTAGTCTTATGTTTCATTTGAGACGGCTTTTTTACTGCTTCTTAAATTAGCTTTTTAGCACAAAAATTTAATTTTTTTGCACTAGATTGTTGCTTTAAGAAGCATAAAAAAAAAATCGCTCCAAACGAAACCTTAAATTATCACATTCCTTTAATATGATCCATCGATCATATAAAATTGATCCAAAATAATGATTCATGCTGTAATTGTGATATTTAATTGATGCTAGTTTAATCTCTTGATTATACAAAATTGATCCCAATTTAATTTCAAAGAGATTATTTTTTTTATCAATTTTGTATAATTGAAGGATTAAATTAGAATAATGTGACATTATGAGATTAAATTGACCATACACTAATCAGGAGACACTTTTAAAATTTACCATATATATAGCATGGGATATAGAGCTTACAAAAAACCAAGCCTAAATAAAACTACTGAGGTACCAGAATTCAATGAAAATGATGTTAACTTCAGCCTTGTTTTGTTTTGTTTTGGCTGAAATCAGAGCTCATTCTCAAATTAAAATGCAGAAAAAAAAATCATCAAACAGGTCCACTCATAAAGCCACATATCTCAGCTTTATAAAGTCATCGTATAAACGGCTTAGGCTTCATTTGGGGCGGCTTTCTTGCTACTTAAAATAGCCTTTTAGTTTAAAAATCAAAATTTTTGTGCTAAAAAGCTGCTTTATGAAACAGTAAGAAAACCGTCCAAACGAAACCTTAATGATAGTAATAATATATGTAAAATCAAAAACAAAGAAGATAGCACCAAAACTAAGAATAATAAACACTAAAAAAATAGCCATTTGAACCAACTTTTACATCACCTTCATAGGTAAGTTGCATACTAAGCAATCTATTAATACCAGTAGCAGAAAGTTATTAATTACTCAACAGAAGAAATCATTGGAGGTTCAATAACATCTTGAAGACAATGCAGAGTTCTCACTACCTCAGCCATTCCTGGCCTCTTTTCTGGCATAATTGAAGTGCAATGGAGAGCAAGATCTAGTGCACCAAACATCTCTTTCTGGGAAGAATTTGAGACCTTCGGATCAAGAACTTGGAGAGGCCCATTTGTCATATTAATTTTTCTTCTCACCCACTTGACCACATCGACAGATTCTCGAGAATCTGGCTGCTCTGCTGGTCTTCCTGTAATGAGTTCTAGTAGCACAACGCCGAAGCTGTAGACATCCATTTGCTCAGTGGCTTTCTTGCTGCAGCTGTGTTCTGAAAGTAATGACAAGGAATGTGACTAAGTATCATCAATACTCTAGTTTGCTTTTGATATATAAAGAATGAGGTAATGCTGATAAAATTTTATCAACAACAACATCATATAAAGCCTTTATCCGACTATGTGGGGTCGGCTACCTAAATATTTTTTCTCCATTTTTTCTTTTTAAGAGTCAAATTCTCATTTAAATTTAATAAAGAAATGTCATTTCTAATATTTTCTAACCAAATCATTTTAGGTCCACCTCTACCTTTCTTAACATAAACAAAATCTAATACATCTACTCTCCTAACCAGGTCAAACCAGGTCATCGAAAGGCTGCCGTTTTATGTGACCAATCTCGCTAATCCTTATCTTCCACTGAAGCTACTCCCAACTTTTCCATTTATATGCTCCTTTTGTATCATGTCTCTAAGAGTAAAGCCACTCATCCACCTAAGCATCATTATCTCTACAACACTTAACTTAATATTATGATTCTCTTTTAATAGCCAACATTTTGCACGACAAAGCATTGTAGTTCTCACCACCATCTTATAGAATTTTCCCTTAAATTTGAGGGGGACTTTTCTATCACATAACAAGCCAGATGCATTCCTCCACTTTAACCATCCAACTTGAATTCTACTAATAAGGTAAAATTTATGTCAGTTACTCACACATTTCCATTAGGAGGGCCTTAAGTTCATGACACATGATATTTTTTAAGTTTAAATTATGTATTTGATTAAGTTAGTTTTGATCCAGTATTTATATGAAAACGTGAAGCCGGTGAAGGTGATTATAGTTATTTTGAAGATAAAATATTGAAGTTTGAAGGCATTTGTGCTCATAAATTTCTGATTTAACATAGATAACTAAACAAAAAATTAAGATATAAAGTACTTTTGAAGATATTTAAATGAAATATGAAGATACGTGACAATGAGATAAAAATACAACATGATTTTACAATAATTCTGACCAAAAACAGATTAGGAGATCCGAACACAAATATTTTTCTCTTGTTATTGAACATTGACATAAAAAAATCTAGAATTCTGCTGATATTTAATAGTTTTATACAACAACAACATCAAGCCTTTGTCCCACTATGTGGGATCGACTGCATGAATCTTTTTTCTCCATTGTGTCATGTTAAAAAAAAATTCTCGTTTAAAACTAATAAAGAAATATCATTTCTAATATTTTCTAACGAAGTCATTTTAGGCCTACCTCTACTTGAAAAGATAGAAAAACAAATACTTTTAGGTCTCTTATGACATTGAATGAGATTTGTAAATCAAACTTTAAAATCAGCAATACCAGTTTTAAAATGTGCGATTTAGTTAGGTTAACCATTGAAATACGCTTGATTAATGTGAATGCAAGTTTAGTTGTGTAAACTAAAATTCATCTGTCACGTTACATCCACAACTTCAATAGCATAAACTAATTAGTCCAACAAATGCCAGTGGGAGAAAAAGAAGAAATGACATCAAGCATAAGAGAAGGCAAACCATGATGAGAAAACATTTCAGGAGAGATTTCATGTCTTTTTGGCCACTTTAGCACAATTGGATGCTCGACAATTAGGATTTTGCCATACAGGCCACTTTGATTTTTTTTTTTTTCTTTTTTATAATAATTAGTAATACCTATTGGCCCTTGCTTGATTTCGTGTTTTTTTGTTGTTGTTGTTGTTGGAGATATACGGGGCTTGGATCATGAACTCCAGCCTCAGGGTTGCCACATTTCTCCTTGTGATGGTGCAAAGCTGCCATCTACATCCATTGAGAAATATGCATGGTTCATTTAGCATTGGAATTCACTACCTAGTTTTCCTACCTTGGAGTTTATAATACCGCTTAAGGAATTGCGCTCTTTTGTTTTTTTCTTGGTTTGGATGTAAAAGGGAGGGTGAAAACCACATATAGGAAATTTTTTATTTTTTTTTGGTTTTAAGGGAGCAATTGAAATATTTATTATGTTTCTCATACATCCTTAAGATTCTAGGCTTTTTTAAGGATGCGCGGTATTAGAAGTGCATGAAAGAAAAAAAAGTTTCTTAATATGATGATCTCTTTGTGTGAGGTTCTTGGGATTATGTTCTTCTTTTGAGGCTTGATAATTGAGGAAAGGCTTATGAAGCTATTGATTTTGTATACCATGATTGTGACTTCAACTTTTTTGCGAATCTCTTATGGATATTATCACAATCCTACTCAAAAACTTCCCTAGTCAAGCTTTGAATGGCCAAACTAGAAACTTGCATAGCATACACAGCTTAAGTCGGACCATTAAACAGTTCAAATCAGCTACTCAGCCAAGCTTGGGTTGCAATTCTTTCTTCTACTCAGCCAAGGCAAAAGGCTCCACTACCTTTAAAGTGGTCATATTTAAGATCAACTATTCAGAATTGAAATAAAGCTTTCAAAAGACAAAATAACAAATGAAAACATGAGATTAGAAGATCAACCATAACCTTAGAGTTATGAAAGAACTCAATTCTATCAAAAATATGTGACTTCAATACTCGAGGACAAAAAAATAGGGCCATAGATTGCTTGCGAGGGGGAGACTAATGGAGACATGGTCTACATCTAGGAAAAAGAATATTGGCCATAATCAAATATGCCCCATTAACAAAAACAAACCCATATCAAGAGAGATTGGATGATTTTCAAGAAGAGGGAGGAGAAGGATGATGTAAACTATCAGGAAGACAAAATAGAAAATAAAAATATGACGAATATAGATTCTAATGACATTCTTCCTGTGAATGTCAGCTACATGACTGGTGATCAATGACTACTCAAGTCAAGAGCATATTATTTCCATGTATGCCATGGAAAATAATTGATGTCTAATTATACTCTATGTAATGGGCATGTGTATTGGAAGTACTGGTATGTATAAGATTGTAGGTCTTGGTATTGTTTGTACTAGGATGCATGACCATGTATTTGGGACTTTAGTTGAGCGTAAATATCTACTTGATATGAAAGTGAATCTTACATCATTAGGTGCTTTGAGCGATACAATATATTTAATTTTTGGACACACTATGATTCTCAATATTTCTAAGGGAACTTCTGTTCTTATGGCAGTCAGAAGAGTTGGAGAACTACATGTATAGTAGGGTGCAACTTCAACAGCTATTTGAGCTTTTCTTAATCTATATTAAAGCATTATATTTTGGGAAAGTAACAAAGTTAGCTTTTAGGCTATATAAAAAGTTCCCCAATAAGTTTAGGAACAAGAAAATAGTAGAGCTTCAGGTGATCAAATGGATAAAGTTTATCTTGTATACTTTATATTGATTTTAAGTCATACTACTACAACATTTAAGGCAAGGAAACAATCACTTCAAGGATATAAGAATTCAGTAATAAGCACATGATCAAGTTTAAAGATACCATTTTAGAGTTTAATATTTATGCTACAAAAATCTCATGTAAGTATTCAGTTCAGACAACATTGGGCCAGACGAGATTTTGTAGTTCCCTTTCGCCTCTAGGGGCTTTGAGTGTTCCACCTAGAGAAGATTCATAGAGGAGATTCAATTTTACTGCATTATTAACTCAAGAAAGAGAAATATACATGGGTTAATTAGTTAATATATCATTTCCCTTATTAATATTGCATAATTGGGCTCATTTTGGATATTTATGCACTATATAGGATCATCATATATATCCTTGTTATGAGTGGAATCTGATTGTGTTGATCAATCGAATTATTTTGTTACCTCGGACCTCAAGTTTCTCAAGCTCGCTGGGGGGTGTGTGGTGTTTACCCTTGCTTGGGTTCCCGATTTTTTTTTTGTACATCTCCCCAATGTTGTATACCCCAGCGCCCCGACGTTGTGTTCCTGAGCGCTGAATGATAGAGAGCAAAGCACTGCAACGGTGCAAGGCAGAGGTTTGAGTGTCGCAACATCCCAAACTGGCTCTGCAGCGCTGCGAGATGCACTGAACAACTATTTTTCTCATTTGTCTCGAGCGTTGCGTCCCTTGGCGGATATAACTTGCTTTCTCTTATATTTTTTTTAATTAGGACAAGAGTGAGAATGGTGCATGTGAGAAGAGAAGCAAGGAGAGAGTGAAAAAGTTGAAAAATATGTACTTATTTCTCTCAATTTTCATAGTGGATTTATTGATGTGGTGTGGCTCCGTGATTTTTTTTCCTATTTTGGGGTTTTCCACATTAAATCCTGGTGTCCTTTACTTTCCGCTGCTTTTACTTTCTTGCGAAGCTACAAATCTATTTCCATCAGGATTTGTGCTGAATTGGAATTCATTTCTAAAATATGTTGGATCAGAATTTATTCCTACTTTTTCTTTTCTAGAGATTTGCATTGCCTTTTGATGTGAAGATGAGGACGATGGCTATATGTAGAGGTTTGTGTCAAGGGTTCTAAGGAATAAATTGAAATATTTCTTGTTTGTTGTAGAGCCTTTTGTTCATAAGTTTAAGGAGCATGGGTGGTTTTAACAGTGCATACAAGAAGTTTTTTTTTTTGTAAGTTACTCTCTTTGTGTGAGACCTTGGGGGCTTTATCTTCATCTTCTTTTTATGAGTATGCTTGAGAATTATGAGAGATCTGGTAAGCTCTCATAATTTTGTGCATCATGATTGTGGATTCTATTTTGTTCTCTCATTTCTCTTGTAGCCGTAGATTTGGTTAGTAAAATCATATAATTTTTTATTTCTTTTATAGTGTTTTCACTTTTAATTTTCAATTTATTTTTGTCAAATCGTCCTTAATTTTGGCAGCAGTTATGCATCATATTTTTAGGCACCCACATTACAAAAAACCAAAACAATCCTGCAATTATTAGCACAAATTTGATATAGACTATGCCCATATAATAAACTCATTATATCCAAAATGTTATATTATGCAATTGCTAACCCATAATTATTAGTTATCTTATGCATGAAGTTCGCACCATTTAAAGTAAAACTATTAAAATATACGTGGACCTTAAAGACACTTTATTTTTACGAA